TGGTTGGCCCGTAGTCCAGCCGCAGGGACTCTGGCCTGGCTCCCCGCGGTTGGACACAAGGTGCCGATGCCCTGCAGGCCCCGTTCCAGAGTCTCAAGAGTGACCAGAGGGGGGGCGGGAAGGGAGCCAGGGAGCCGCAGGGTTTCGCCCGCTCAGCACGAGGGGAGACGTTTAAAAAGGACCCGGTGTGTAACTGGGGGGGGGGCTCGGAAACCCACCCGGCGCAGGCCGCGGGACTGGGACGCACATGGCACTTTACTGCAAGGAACGCGGGGCCAGGGCGCGCCGCCTCCTGCAGGCGCAGCTCGCCCGGAGCCTCAGCCCCCAGGTCACTGCGCGACTGCACCTACCGGGAGCATCACTAACTCGCGGGGAGACGAGCTCTGGTGTCCGTGTCGCCCGCCCCGCCCCACACCCAGCGCAGCCCAGTGCACCGGGTTCACGCGCGGCTCGCGTTCATGCCCATCGCCTCGTTTCTAACTTCTTTGTCGGTTCTTTTGCAGGCTTGGGCGACGCCTGGGGACAGCCGAGCAGAATAGGCCCCTTGGATAATGTGGCTAAAGAGCTGGGATCTCATTTGCTTCAGGTAGAAGTTGCTTTACTCGAGTTTTAGAATGGGATTGTGTTGTGTCTGTGTATGAATCCTCCCTATTCCCCCTCTCTTTCTCACCGAGTTCTTACACACAACTGAAATCATTCTGCTGAGACAACCTAGACCCACAGTTTTCTTTCAGCTGTTCAGAGAAGCCAGTCATTTTAATTTTTTGCTGAACTTTAGCAGTACCAAACAGCCTACATTAATAAGAACAGTTTGCCTGGTAAGACTAGTCCAACAGTTACAAATAAATCTCCCTCTCCCCACACCACTAAGGAATCATTTTTGGTACTACAACCGGCCCCTGGTGAATTGCAATGTGGATTGTATTTACTATCAACAATCCAGTCAGAGTGTTTTTGTAAATGGGAGATCATAGTTCTGCACAGATTGCTCAGTAGGGAAAACCTTTAAAAGAGCGTATGGCTCCTGCAGCAGGAGGTGAACATCTGGATTAGATCTTCTATTTACGTTAGCACCTGAAAATACAGTTGTTCCAAATCCTGTTGATCTGCTCTGGAATTCTTCTGCTCTCCATGTGGACTCCCCAGGCAGCAGAGAATTTAGGGAGCAGTGTTGGGAGGTTACCCAAAGGGAGCTTTATGTTTGTAACCTTCAAGGAAAGACATATTAAACTGTAATTGTTATTAATGGTCGGTTTTATTGGCGAAGGTTAATTTCTAGTTATGTAGCTGTTTTTAAGTGGACACTGGGGTGGTGATTAAACTTAAGGAGAAACTCGGCCTAGGATCTATGAGTGCTGAAAACTCTTTCAGAAACTCATTCCTAACATAGTGCATGACCATTTGTCTACCTTTAGCTGTGGGACGTCAAAGGTGCACTGAGCGAGCTTTGTCACTCTGCTTTTCATGCTATTGTATTAATTAATTATTTCTTTTCAAGTTTGTATCAGAATAGTCCAAGTCCCATCGTACTAAGCACTATGTACATGATGTTCTAAGAAGTATGCAACACTGGTACAATTTAGGGATGTTAAATATCGGTTAATTGAATAGTCAATTAACCTTATTAATTCTTACTGGTTACTTGACTATTCTGTAGTCCCCAGTGGTGGGGCCAGCAGCCACCCTGTGCTGCTGCCACTGCAAAAGAGGCAGCAGTGTGGGGTGCCAGGCGGGAGCAGATCCACGAGGGGAGCCAGTGTAAAAAACAGCTCCCCTCATGGAGTGATACAGTGGCAATAGCGCGGGGTGGGAGCAGCCCCTGTCCGGGGTAGTCTGAGCTCCCAGACCTAGCGTGAACTGGAACTGAGCTGGGCTGCCTGCCCACCTGGCTCCTAATACACTTTAAATGCAGAGCCGCGGCAGGAGCAGGTCTGGAACCCAGTGTGAGCCGGGACTGAGGAGGGCTGCTGGCCAGCCTGCTAAAAAATTTACTGGCCTGGGGGGGAGGAGGGAAGGGGAAGAATGCATGTAGTCTATAGCATTAACCAGTAAGCTTTTACTTACCAGTTCATCAGTTAATCAACTACACTATTACATCCTTAGTATAGTTCATGTGATTTAAGGCTTGAGGTCTATAAATTCTAGTGCAGTGGTCCCCAACCTATAGAGGTGCCCGGGGGGTGGGGCCACTCACGTGCTGGGCGCCCGGGGACAGGGCCGCGTGTCCTGGGGCACGCCAGGGGCGGGGATGCCCTTGCACCTGGCGCCGGCATGTGCCCCGGGGCCGGGGCCAGGGCTGCCCGAGCACCTTG